TAAACATCTGTACAATTTTATTATTAGGTTGTCGTGAACTATTTTTTTTTTTAATACCCAAGAAATTTTGTATATTGCCACAATTTGTACTCAAAATCTGACGACACGCGCTTGTTTCTGACTGTTGTTTCTTGAAAGTTTATGACTATGCACATTACAAAATTCACTGAGATTAGTCAGATGGTACGTTTATAAAAGTTCACTAATAAAAAACAATAGGAAAACTGTGTTAACTACCGAAGCCATTCCACTTACTAAAGATATTGAAGCCCCACTTATGCAAATATTGTAGTCGAACGCACTACGCAGACCTCCCAGTAAACTGAAGAAAATTAAGGGTGACCAGGCATTTTTAACTTCGTTAATCACATTAATTTCGATTGAGTCAAAATTAGAGTCACATCAAGCTGCCCCCTTATTCTGAAACTCTGGCAACTTTTGTTTGAGAACAACCGAAATAAAATGTTCACAGAGCTTTGTAATCTCACATTTTTAATAAATCGATAATCGCTACCAGTTGCTATGTATTTTTTTAATTTATTCTAAGTAGTTCATCTAAGAAATCACTCATTAAAGTTCACTTTTAAATATCAGTTTAAAGATACAACATCAAAGTCAAAATGGTGTTTAATGAAGATCGCTGATATTGACATTTCAAAATTGCAAACCATTGATAGCAAATACGAATTAGTAATTTACTGGAGTGGACTGGGTAGCTATATAGCTGGCATCGAGTATGTACAATATATAAAGAAATAAGAATATCAATGGAAGAAAGAGTACGCCTAGCTTTTAGTTTTTAATGTCAACACTAATAACGTAAAAAGACACATTTTGTACATGCTCACAGATTTTCGTCGGTTCTTATGTCACTTAGCGACACTTAAAAAGACAGTAACGCTTAAAAAGAGATAGAAGTGATGTTTAATAATGCGATTAAAATTTTCAGTTTACTCTATTTCCTTATAAAGTGTGTGCACCCACTTTCCATCTGAACGCTCTACTCACTTGCGTGCCTGCACACCAATCGACCGGAAAAGTATTTCGCCCGTGAACCATGTGTTCATCATTACCCACATTTAACGCACGTCGTGTTTACCATAGGGTAATTAGGTTATGTCCCTTGTTAAAGTGAAGTTTATCGGGTAGCCATTCGACCAGAGAAAAGTACCATCGAATATTTTTAGTGTATCTTGTATTAAGATGAACGTCTAGATAATTAACCTACATTTTACTCTTATATTGTAGAAATCACGATTATTAAAGGAGAATCCGACATTATAGCGTTTACACTATAGTTCTGCCAAAGACTGAATTAAGTATACGCAATATATTATATATAACTTAAGAGCCTACTAAGGCATAAATTTTAAGACAAATTAGGAGCCTACTCCGTCAGAGATCAGTATACATCAGTTGTATATATTGTCGATGGTAAAATGGTGAAGGCGGGTGAGATCATGTAATTCCTGAGCGCACTCCCCATAGTACATCCTATAAAAGACAGACACGCGAGCATTTTTACGCTAATGGACCAGGCGTCGCAGCTCAGTATCCACTAGCTTTTCGTAGCCATGAGTTTCTTAAATCTACGCTCCACCCAGGGTTACCAAATCGCTAAACCGAATCGAAATCGCTAATAGCCGGAAAGATCTGCCTGTTTGGCCGGACATTTGGGTAAAAAGGCTGGGCGCCCTGCATTGTAGTGGATTTTGTCTTTATAATATACATATAATTAAGTGTAAAAACCAAGTTTATTAACCAGTATAGAAATGGTACAAAAGGCGGGCTTAATCCCAATGGCATTATCTCCCAGTGAACCTTTAGGGAATCGATAAACACGATGGCGACATAAAGTAAAAATTCACATAGTTTGCATAAGAAAGCATGAGCTCTACGTTTAAAAACAAATTTATTATTTAATCAAAATTAATGAATGAATGAATGAATGAATACAGTTTATTGCGTACAAATACAGTTATACATAACATTTATAATCAAAACCAAACACAAAAGGCGGCCTTATTGCTAAGGTAGCAATTTCTTCCAGGCTACCCTTGACTAAAGGAAATTATACCAATTGAAGAAACGAGTGAGTAGTGGTTACTATAAATTTTTCTCAGATATAAATTAAGTCGAATGCAAAATCAATCGAAGCACTTTTTTCGGATGTCTTTATATATAAATATAATTAAAAAAGCCGGGCATCGCTTATTTTGGCTGGACACGCAATCTAAAAGCCAAAACTATGTCCAGCTTTATCCGGGCGCCTGGCGACCCTAGATCCACCGAGTATAGTGCGGTACGCTGAAATATCGCAACAACCACTGTATTCGTGTTTTGCACGGAGTAGCACTCAGGACAGTTTGTATATTAGAAATTGTATGCTGACGGTACACAGCAGGTCTCGCAGACCTACTAACTGGGTGTGGAAGTTGCTAGATATCATAGTTATAGCAATAGACTTTCGCGAGATAACACCTGATTCCATTAAATATTTATCTATTTAACTGCCTTTATCTTAACAACTGATTCCGCACGGAGTACGCGGAGAGTGCGGAGCACTATAAGTTGTACTTTTAATATGAAACATTTTTGAAGCAGAAAAAAACAGCCATTACAATATATATTGATGGTCAATAAAAATACTTACTTACTTACTTACTTTTTGCATTTGATATTTTTATTTCTGATATTGGAAATTTGTCCCACATACTGTGGAAAAAAGGTTTAGATTCTATTCTAAAGGTCTAGATCTAGGTCTAGTTCTAGAATCTACGGTAAAAAAAGTATATGTTTTATTATCCGAATTAACTATAAAAGAGTTTACCTATTGGAGTATGAAACTAGGTTTCAAATCGTTTTTATGAAACCTACCTTGTTTCAAAGGTTTTATACTGAAAAGGTAAAAATGGGTTGAAATTTTCACAGAAGAGGTATATCTATTGTCACTACAACAAATATAATAAAAAAGCTGATATTTTAAAAAATATATATATATAAAATGTTGATCTCAGTTCTATTTTTTGAAAAAAAAACTTTTCATTATTTTTAGTAATGTTGATTTTTTTATAAAAATAACTCCTCATATTAGATATTTATATAAAAAATATGTCAATACAGTGAAAGTATTGAAAAGTTATATTATATTACCTCATAGTTATATTATAAAGAGGAAAGGAAAGATTTGATCGTTTGTTTGATTGCATTGAATAGGCACCGGATTTATAATTTACATGAGCGAAGTCGTGGGGAAACATCTAATTTGATAGAAAATGGTTCACAATTTACAAGGAAATCGGTGAACACACCTACTTACATTCAAAATATAGATATAGTATAATATAATATAGAAAATCCACCTTTCGGTTTTTGACTGAATGCAAAATACGCAATCTTACGTTTTTTTTGCTGATTTAAACATGTCGTCTTCATATTTGGTGAAATATATATTTTGTTTTGTTATAAAAACTAGACTACCAATTCGATTTAGATAAAATTGGGGTCTCCTCAGGCCTATAAGCTGTCAAATAAAAAAAAATAAAATCTGTCCACAATTTGCGTAAAAATCGGTGAACATACATAAAAAAATACATCACCGTCAAACATATAACTTCCCACTTTTTATCTACTTCAAAATCTAAAAAGCGTTCAGTGTAAGTTTGGCTGCCATACGACAAACATTATTTTTTCCTTTTATAGATACAGATACGGAATTCTTCATGCGCGTGTCCGACTTGCACACGACTTTGTACCGTTCTTACTTGTACAATTAATTACAATACAATTCATCTCCAGTTCACCGGATTGTTGAGAAAATACCAACGAAAATTATCAGATTATGTTCACAGTAAGACAAATATAAGACAAATCTTACGATTTCAATGCAAACTAAATTTATTTATTTTGTTTAAATTATTTTGCTAAAAATTTCGTTTTTGTTTTGTAACAAAACAATAAATCTGACCTTTTTCTTTGTTGTCGGAACTGCCGGAGTATCTATTATTATCGAATAGAATATTCGATAAAAACTGACATTAATTCTATCAAAAGATAATAGTGAAAGTGGTTCTTACCTCTAAACTTCCTAAGGAGCCATTTACACCATGGGCGGATGAACCTTAAGGCAAGTAATAAGATGGACGTGAAAAGCTACAACATTTAAGAAAATTCCTTCTTATTTTTATCACCTCTAAAAATTCGCAGTCGTTCTGCTAGAAAATTCTGCAAAATATGCATGATTTCGCCAATAGTGAGGATTTCTTTAGGTTTTTTCATGTTGAAACTTTAAATTTGTCGTAAAAAACATACAATTAATATTTTTTATACCACCCATTTAACATTTCTTTTTGCTGTAATAAATAATATGAAGAAATTTAACTTTTTCTAGAAAAATCTAAAATAACTTCTACTTACAAAACTAGAAGACTGTTGATTGAATCAAAGAAAGATATCAGATGCATTTTTATCATGGAAACTGTCAATTATCTCGATGATTAGAAATCGGAACATTAGGATATGTTTGATATCTGAATTAAATAATATGAACAATGAAAATAACAATGTTATTAATTAACAATGTTATTAATGTAAGAGGAAATTCTCCTTTAAAATTTATTATAAGTAACTATCAGCTTAAAGAGCTACATTATTGGCTACTCAAAGCAACTTTATAGTTAATAACAGCTAATGAGACATTACATCTAAGCCGATTTCACGGTGCTGCTAAGATAATAATAACGTGGCATACAACCAGTCTAGTCCACCGGCCATGATGTCCTTTCGCCTTTTCTCCCGTCTCAAAAGAAATGCGTAAACGGCCGACACTAGCATACACGACACGATGCATGTGAAGCGAAACCACACCAGCTGTCCGTGAAAGAAAAGCAACCGTAATCGTTAAAGTTAAAAGGTCCAATTTCAACATACTGTTGAGGTATTAAGACCTTTCGGTTTTCAACGACCGAGCGCACCAGTCTTTTGCCACACTTCACGTCATCAGTAACTTAGAGGATTTAATGGAGGGAGCACGTATTGAGTGAACCCGTGACGAACTTTATCAGTACCCATTAAAAACGTTAATTATAATAACGATCGATGAAGAAACTGCTGTGCAGGATACCAAATACTTGTGTTATCTCATAAATAAAACCGTGCTTCTATTTAATAGTGTTTGATCATTAACCCGTGGATTACATTTTCGAAATGTAAGTAATATTGATTTTTATGACCGGCTTTTTTCGTTATTTGTGTGTATAATAAATTCAGAAACGATTTATTTGGCTCTAATGTTTGACTGTGTTAAGAAAGTGATTTGTTCAAGGTGTTTTATTAATTTTTCGTACTTTATCTCCATGGGAAAGCATGTTGCGGTCGCGATTCCGTTACTTATGTGTTCTTTTGAACTCGTCAGACTACTATAAGTCAGCCACTTCTTTATGTTCCGTCCAATATACAGCCGAGAGCATCTCATTTCTATTTGTCATGAATATGTATTAAGAACGATCGTGAAACATCAACGAATGCGTGTCCTCGGCCATCGTTAGTTTCCTTATACTATCTAGTTTAAATCTACTTTATTCTAAGTTAACAAGTTCAAATAACATATATTTACCTATAGATATTAGGTACACATACCCGGATCATCAAACGTCTGTTCTGCGGTTACCAGTATCAGTTTATAATGTGGGTTTGTTTTTATTACTGCGCGATATCAATTACACTCATTAGTCACTCCAATACCTAATAATATTCTTACCGTTTCCAGTTACCTTTTAACATACAAATAAGTAGTTGATTATGTGTTATTTCCTTTATGTTGCTAAATTGCTATTATGTTAACTGAAACTTTATTATTTCAATTGAACAATTGCACAATTAGGAAGTTAATACATTCATAGTAAGACTGAAATGGACACGACAAACAACCCATATCATTATATGAAATTAATTGAAAATTTTATATTCGCAATCACAACGGTACTCTAGACAGAAAAATGAATTGCAAACGGAAATTGAATGCAAATCAAGTCATAAGAAAGTATTTTCTAAATCAATCATCGAAGCAAAGAGACAGAAGATTTGTTTAATAGATTCTTTAGAAATTCAGGTCTGGAAATATTTGAAGTCTGTAAGTAGCCAAAATTCATACATCAATATAATTATCAAGTTCAACTTTACCATGCGGTACCGTGTTCACAATTTTAAAAGAGAGATACGTATGAAAATCAGATAGTTATGTGAAACTTCAATTTAAAATGAATGGCTAGGATTTATCCGAATCTACAGAACCAGTAGAGTGTTAGTGAAGGAGTGATAAGTGTCTTCGGGTCTCTACCTATTGAGAGGTGTTGTTAGCACTTGTGTATGAATGAACATAGGGACAGTCGGTTGTAGACTATTGTAATATTCCACTGTATATTGTATATATTTAGTTATCAACTAACTAAATCAAGCAATTTTATTCTGGAACTTTTTCTTATTTCTCACATTAACAACGAAAGTAATTTTTTAACCAACTTCTAAATCCAAAAGGAGGAAGTTTGACGGCGATGTATGTTTTTTTGTGTATTCCCGTCAATTGTTGACCGATTTTCAAAAATCTTAATGAACCGAGGTTGTCCCGTTTAAATTTTTTCGAAATCGAATCAGTAGTTTTTCTTTTATAATATAGAAAATACTCTTTTCATCGTATATCACCTAAATAAAATAAAATACATAATATAGTAGTAGATGAAGATTGCGTATTTTGAATTCATTTAAATTCCGAAAGGAGGATTTTCGATGTTCAAGGAGTATGTATATTTTTTATGAAAGTAAGTATGTCAATCGATTAGTTCTTGAATTGTGAACCAGTTTCTATCAAGCTAGTTGTTTCCCCGCAACTGCGCCTGCGTAAATTATAGGCTATGTCCAACGCTGTGCTATTCGTTGCAAACACACAAACAAATAAACAAACAATAAAATCTTTTCTCTTTAGAAACTACTGCTGCCATTTTAAAATTCTTTCACCTTCGGGAAGCTACAACATATGCGTTGAACATAGGCTATATTTTATCCAGAAAAAACAGCAAGTAATGTGATGCAAATGAGAGTGGAAGTGAGTATCCAATGAAAACGTTACCATAGTAACGACTGTTTACTATTCAATTTGTCATAACTTCGCTTACAATAGCCGCACATCTCTTTTTACTAGTTTCAAATCAATTTGCGATGACGGCTAAGTATAGGCAAGTATGAGTTAGACAGCTAAAAGTTAATTTGAAATTTATAAGACAGATCTAATATTAACCAAAAGAGTTTGATAGAAATGCTATTTAAATGTTTGAATACAATCTCAAACAAACCCTGTTAGCAGGAACCAAGATAATTAAACAATGAAACAAAACAAACTACATTTGCATAAACAAGATCTCTGTCGTTCTACATAGTGAAATACTTATTATCATTTGGTGATCGTTTTTTAAATGATGATGAAGAAATTGGCATTGAAAATGTCAGAACACAGACACTCAACAGAATTTATTACTTATACAATAGTTTAAATATTAATTATAAAGTTTGAAAATAAAACTAATTTCTACGATTTCTGCGTACAGATAGATAAATAATTCATCTGCATAACTAGAAATATTTTTATGTATGATACGGATAAATAATCCAAACAATGCAGTAAAAAAATGTGATAATCATTAGGTAGTCGTTTTATGAAATAGAAAATAACTTGTATGCTGTTTTTAAATATAATATTTAGAGTTCTATGCCACAACAGGAAAAGGGTCTGTCTGTATACGAAGATCCTTTTTTCTTAGGAACGCATACAGGTATTTCGTTGAAGTTAACACGAATAAATCTGCAATATACCTATTGGAATTGGAAAAGAATGGCAGTTTGTGGTGTATATTTAGACGCAACAACGGGAATTAAAACGAATACAGTACCTACTTTTGCCAAAGCTAGAATTATGAATAAAGGCTGAAGAAGCCTCGTCATTATTATAATTGTGAAGATACCGATCCGAAAATCATAAAAAAAAATAATAAGTCGAAAAAATACAAACTAGGTAGTTTGCAGTCGGTAAACTAACCATTCAGGAGGAATCAGAAGTTCGTGCTTCAATCCAACTTATCTTTTTTAGAGCTATGCTCCTTGTATTTCATGTTTATGAATTTCATTAATATAATATAGATCCATCAGTGCGTAGGCGAATCGCAAATGGCTCCTTTTTTAATTTTACAAACGAGTATAACTTTTTTCATTACATCAGTAAAAACAGTACCATTAACTAACTACACAAGTTGTGTAGCAAAGAACGTTTCCTTCGCCGATTCGTTCTTTTTTTTCTTTTCCTTTATAGTATAGACATGTTTGCTCTTGTTGAGGACTTTTTTACAGAGTTCATTGGCCCGTAATGTGTATACTTGTACACTGAATATGACTCATTCTTGTAAGATCGACTGCTAAACATTAACATATCATTGTTAGAAAAGTTTTGCGTTTGGCAACACATATTTTATTGCGCTTGGAAAAACAGTTTCTTAATTTCGTTATTTTTAGACAGGGTTTTTTTTTAAATATTTAATTTAAGTTTCTAATTGTGTAGTGTTTAAATTCTTATTTTCCACATCCTTATTTTAGAACAATTAGTTATTTTGTAAAGATATCGTTTTCGGACAATTATTTCTGTGTCTCTGGTTTTGAAACGGAAAATATGTAAAAAAAAAGTGTAGAAGTAAAATTTCATATTATTGGGAGTAATATTTTGTTAGTTATGTTTGCTTTGTCTGCTTAATAATATAAATTTTGACTAATACTAAGTGCAATCTTAGCATAAATTTACTATGACGCTGAGCCGACGACGTTTATTAATAACACTAACTGTGTTTACTGCTATTAGCAGAAATGACAATGAAATAACGATTTCGTGTTACTAATTAACTTTATCAGCTGTTTCTGTTTATTTTACAGTTAAATTTTGATAAAATTATTTATTCATATTAATATAATTATATTGACATGTGACATAGGTTGTCATCTTGTTCTAGTACAAGAGTTGAAAAAAAAGCTTTGAACGCAGTCATCGCATCAAAGGTCAAAATCAAATAAAACCTAATTCAATAGGTAATAAAGGTTTTATTCGAACTTCTATTGCCGTCCAGCAATATTTGTAAAAGAATAGCGAAATTGACCTTTCATCTCCTTGCATTTTCTTAGCTGATAGGTCCTATAGCGATATCATAGAAAGGAAAGATTTGCTTCTTTGTTGCATTGAATAGACTCCGAAACTACTAAACTGATTTGAAAAAATCTTTCAACTACGGATATTTCACGCGAATGAAGCCCACAGCTAGTAGACTAATAGATTTACCTTTATTATCGTACATCATCATAGGGAATTCTTTGTTTTCAATGAGAAAATCTTTAAAAAAAAAGAAAGCACTAAAAAGCACCTCACTAGATGGAGACTCTAGCAAAAGTTGATTTTTGCAGGAAACGAATGGACCAAAGATAGTCATTTCCGTTCCTTTTAACTAACATGCTAAAAGACAGAAATTGGCAGAGTTCGAAAAGCAAATTCAAAGGGATTGCGGTAGATTTTAAAATTAGACTTAGCCCCCTGTTGCTCAAGATACACCCGGGACTGAATTGGGTATTTAATGTTAAGCACGTCTTAAACTGTACTTAAACGTCACTTGAACAGGTTTTCGTTTCTGTTTTTAGTTTTCTTAATGATCAGTTGATAGCAGTTTGATAAAACTGAATTTATTGAGAAAAATCAGTTGAAATTTTGAACTTTTCTCAATTCCGAAACCGGCCGTTAGTTTTCGTTTCATAATCAGACGGATATTTAATTTAGAAATGTCCAGGTGTACCTAGTCTAGTTCAGTGATTTCTTCTCATTTACCATCGTGTCTTAGTTGTCTAACATGAAAAAAATTAACCGTGTCTTATGTTCGCGGTATCACAATAAACTACAATTGTGTATTATAGAATTACCACACGTTTAAGAACCATCGGCAACAATAGATGTGACGTACAATAACCGTCGGACTATTGTTAAGATGAACCGCGTCGCACACATTGACGTCAGAGACTAGTCAAAGAAAAATGAACTTTAAATTATATACACATACAAGCGCCTTGAATTCATTGGTAAGTAAACATTTGGCATTCGTCCCTCGCGACATAATCAACGTTCGTTTGGTTA